GGAGGATGGCTGAGAGCTCACTGGAGGAGACTCTTCCCAGCCTCTGACACAGTACATCTCTGGGTGCAGAGGTGTGGTGGTGGCTCCTTGAAGGTTCTCCTGAATGTGTACAACGTCTGGGATCTGTCTGTAATGTAGAAGAGGAAGACGGGCTTCAGAGCAGGGCTTCCCCTAGTGCAGTGTGAGAGGGACAGGGCGTGACGGCTGCCTTCTGGTAGGGATGGCTGTTGGGTGTGAAACCCGGTGGGGATGGCTTGAGGGTGTGAAGGTGGGTGTGCAGCCAAGGGTGCCCAGGGCTGTCCTTCCCAGCAGTGTCTCTTCACCTCAGGGGGCTGTGACCTGGGGCGGGGATACTGTCACCAGCCAGCATCAGCACTCAGCCTGTCTTGGTAGCTCCTCATGGAGCTGTGGGGAGAAGCTGTGGGTAGAAGGAGAGATCCTCAGCAAAGATGCATCTCTCCTGACACATAAACCTCTTCCTTCTGCAGAGAAAAGGGACTGAGAGCAACCGGCCTGTGATGTCACCAACGTGGAGGTGCTGTGTTGTGCTGTGCTGTGTAAGGAGAAGGCTTTCCCGAGGGGCCTCTGTCTTCCTCTCCTGTTCTCCATTTGCAGAGGGATCAGGGTATTGCTCTGCATTTTTTTTCTCCTTTTCCTGCTGCTCCTTTTCTTGCTTGTGGAAGCTCTGGGTTGTGGGGGGAGTAGGAGGTATCTCACATGCATTTGAGACACTGATCATGGGGGGCTTTGGGCAATGCAGTGTGTGGGACTTGGAAACATGTGGACTCTGCCTTCAGGAGATGCTGGGCATGATCTTTCAGGCACCTGAGAGTTTTCCTGGGGTGAAGAGGTTGAAGTGCCCTTCCCCTGTGCTGGGGGCACTTCAGCAGGGGAGTATGGGAACCTAGTGACAGCCTCATTCTCACCCACAGGCACGCTGCTCTTATCATGTCTGGGGAGAGCCTTTAGATGGAAAATGAGGATGAGAAAGATTCTATGTCGGCTGAGAGTGATTACGACCCAGAGTTTGCTGTTCAGGAGAGCAGAGTTGGAAGGGCTGGGTCCCTCCCTGGGCTCTTCCCTCTCAGACACAACTGGTCTGGGTGCTGACTCCATCGCACTGGAATAAATTAGGACAATTGTCACATGGTCACTGAGGCAAACACCTGTCACTGGACTGAAGGCACCCGTTGCCAGGAACACCTACTGAAGGCATGGGCTGTTTGACACCACTGCAATAGCACAGGTCTGACTTCTCTGGAGCCCATGGGCAGAGTGTCTGCTTGTCAGTTCTGACCTCACAACAAGGAGAAGTTCCTCCAAAAAAAGAAGCTGTTGTGGGGTTATCTGTATGAAATGGCATAAGATTAGCTCAGAGAAACAGTCCCCCATTCCTGCAGTGACATAATGTCCAATGCCAGCTCCATCACAGAGTTCCTCCTCCTGGCATTTACAGACACATGGGAGCAGCAGCTGTTGACCTTCGGGCTCTTCCTGGGCATCTACCTGGCTGCCCTCCTGGGCAATGGACTCATCATCACCGCCGTAGCCTGTGACCCCCACTTCCACACCACCATGTACTTCTTCCTCCTCAACCTCTCCCTGCTCGACCTGGGCTCCATCTCCACCACTCTCCCCAAAGCCATGGCCAACTCCCTCTGGAACACCAGGGCCATCTCCTACTCGGGATGTGTTGCTCAGCTCTTTCTGTTTTCCTTCTTGCTTGGAGCAGAGTATTGTCTCCTCACTGCCATGGCCTACGACCGCTACGTTGCCATCTGCAAACCGCTGCACTATGGCACTCTCCTGGGCAGCAGAGCTTGTGCCAAAATGGCAGCAGCTGCCTGGGGCAGTGGGTTTCTCAATGCTGCCCTGTACACGTCCAGCACATTTTCCGTACCTTTCTGCCAAGGCAATGCTGTGGACCAGTTCTTCTGTGAAATCCCCCCGATCCTCAAGCTCTCCTGCTCAGACGCCTACTTCAGGGAGGCTGGGGTACTTGTGGTTAGTCTCTGTTTAGCCTTTGTTTGTTTTGTGTTCATTGTGGTGTCCTACGTTCAGATCTTCAGGGCCGTGCTGAGGATCCCCTTTGAGCAGGGTCGCCACAAAGCCTTTTCCACCTGCTTCCCTCACCTGGCTGTGATCTCCCTGTTTATCACCACTGCCATGTTTGCCTACCTGAAGCCTCCCTCCATCTCCTCTCCATCTCTTGACCTGGTGCTGTCATTTCTATACTCAGTGGTGCCTCCAGCAGTGAATCCCCTCATCTATAGCATGAGGAACCAGGAACTCAAGGATGCTGTGTGCAAACTGATGACTGGTTGCTTTTCAGAAGCAGCACTGAACTGCCCATCATCCCCTGCACATCACTAGTAATGGAACTCATTACTGGCATAGCCTATAGTTTTGTGAGGTTTTTTGATTTCGTTTCTTTGGTTTTACTTTTCTTGGTTGTATTAATGCTGTCCATGAACCCTTCCCTTATTCTTCATCCTGTTTCCATGTCAGTATCTGCCTGCCTTGTGAGCCCCAAAGACTTTGTGTAAATAAGGTGCTGTGCTCTCTGTGTTTTTAATTCAAATAAAGGACCCTGCACTGACCTGTTTGTCTGAGCTCCTTTCTCAAGATCTTCTGTGGAGCTGCTGTCGCAGTGTCTGTGTGCTGAGGTGGAGGGGGCAGTAGCCACCCTGAGCTGGGTCTGCTTCTGAGCCTTACCAGCATCGCCATGGCCACCACAGCCCACTTGCTCTGCAGAGCAGCACCACTGGTTCAGGGTCTGTGGGGAGCCTGGGGAGGGGGTACAGGAATAGCTGTCCAAGTCAGCAGAGATGAGCTCTGTAGGGCAAAGTCTCTGTGGGGAGATGGGATGTGCCAGGAGAAGAGCAGAGCACCGTGTGCGTGTGCAGGGGGGACATGGAAAGAAAAACCCTTTGGTTTGGGTGGCAGCTCGGGTCAGTCTGCCCTTTCCCTGGGATAAAAGGACCTTCCTGAGGATCCTCTAGGCCAATTGTCTCCTGCTGTCCTGGGGAGCAAGTTTGCCACATAGGGCTGCAAGGTGCCCAGGGTGAGGATCTCCTCAGCATGCCAGCTGGATGAACATTCTCAGTGGCCTGTTTCTTGCTCTGAGACATGAAGGATGCACAGAGCGGTGTGGAGATTGAGGGCACAGACTCCGATTGGGGATAAACCGAAGACCTTTATTTTTTGCTACAGCATCATTATATACTTTTCTCTACTAGCCCACGCACCTCTAAGTAAGCTATGACTGGTGCATGGGCATTGTCCACGCACCACTACCACTAACATCATTGGCTGCTGTCGTGCAGGCTTGAGTTCCTCTCATATCTAATGGTCAGCACCTGTTTACTTCCCTGTTCTCTTCCTTTACTCTTGTTCAAGGCTCAGGACTGGAGCTGCCTGAATCCTGTTAACTCTTTCCATCCCTTCTCTCCTTGTTCCTCCTCAATGCAACAGTGCCTGGCCGGCTTCCAAAGGTTGCCTCTGCCTTATTCCTACAGACATCCTCCAGGAGAGGAGTGTGGAGCTGCCTGGAGAGCCTGGGGGATCTCCAGGGACCAGTTGTGCCTGGTGTGGACAGTGACTGGAGCCCCACAAAACAAGGGATGAAAGATGGACACACCTGACCATAAAGAAATCAGCTCCCACAAGGAATAGCACCTTTAAAGTCACCACACCACCAGCAGCACATACACAGCTGGGAAGACAGCAGGTCCCATCTTATTCCCCTCTCAGGCTGATCTGGTGTGAAGGTCATGAGGGGGCCTTGCATCCCCTGTAGCATCGACCCATGGATTTGGTTCACATTGGTCATTCTCCCTGACATGTTTGTCAGTCCTGTGTTGAAGACTGGGAGATCGCTGTGGCTTCTTACAAGCCGCAGACATTCGCTGTCTCCCTGGGCACAGCTGAATTTAACCGATGTGTTGCGACGTGTTTCGATGGCTGCGGAGCCATTTGCAAGCCCTCGCATTGCTCTTGTCTTTGCAAACTCCTGCTTGTGCTCCGTGCTCGTGTTCACCTGCTGGGGAATGGCTCCTCTGTCCATGCTCAGCCTCACAATCTTGTGTGCCACCAGACCCTCTGTGCCCAATGCAGAGACTGCTTATTCTGGGCATCATGCCTTTGCTGAGAGAAGCCCACATGGGCACCAGCTACTATGAAACAGGAGCATTGCTCTCTCCTCCGCTGTGCTGCTGAGCTCCTTCACACGGACTACTGTGGTTTATGCCTCCATGATAGGCACCATTCTGAGGATAACCTCTGTGCAAAGCCACGATAAGGCCTTCTTCACCAGAATATCCTTCACCTGCCTATCCTCTATTTCTTCACTCCGTATCACATATGCTGTCTGCATGTTTGACGATGCACAGCCTGAACAGAATCTGTCTGCAAATTTGCAGGTTCTCCTAAGGAGGTGTCTTCAGGAGAAGAATAATTTTAGGTAATTTAGGTGTCACCCAACAGAGTAAGAAGACACCAGCCTTTGAATGTTTGAACTGACCCAGAAAATGAAAACTGGGATGGCCACCTCTGATTCACTGATTCACCACGCTCATACTGCTGGGGGTGACTGAGCTTGAGATTTTGCTCAAATACAGCCAGTGGTTTAACCTCAGAAAGCTTTCCAGATGAACCCAGTGCAGAGATTCCCCTGTGCCAGACTAGAGGCAAAGAGCAAGCCGGGCATTTGAGATGTAAGACTAGCCTGAGCCCCAAGCTAAAATGTCATGCCAACATGGAGAACCACCCTATGCTGAACTTCCCATTTTGCTTCTTGCGTAATGCTATCCATTCTGCCCTGGGACAGAGCCTGAGGGGACAAAACAGCCTGTGGAGAGCTTTTGTTTCACTGCTTCAAACCGACCAGCTCCTCCCCTCGCTCTCCTCCCCTTGCGTTGTGAATCATCCTGTGTCTGGAGTCATCTGCTCTGCTCCTTTCTATGTCTAAAAACAATGGTAAAGATGAAGGGAAAAACATTGGTCGTTATTGCATATACTTTTCTTGTAGTTCCTTCTGTTAGATGCGTATTTTGACTTTAAAAAATAATAACTGAGTACCTCAGAGATTTGAGACTTGAACAGTGAGTGTCACCGACTTTGCTTCAGGTGAGAACTTGTTTCCCAGAGGTTCCCTCTATACTCAATGGAGACAAGAGAAAACGCTAGAGGCTGGATCCTCCCAGCCTATAACTGGCATGCAAAAGAAAGTTCACAAATCTCTTCCAGGCACTCTCGTTCTGCGTTTAGGTCAGGACATTGGAGGGTAATAGCAATGAGCAGCTGTTTGGAAACAACTGCATTTCAGTGCAGGCAGATGTCAGATGAGACTGTGTGGAATCATAGGAAATTTCAGTCACTATTTAGAGTACTAAGGAAGACAAGTTAGACTTGGTCCTTATTCCTCCTTCCCACCCCTGTTCTCTCCTGAAGAAATAGAGAGCAAGAAGCTATGGAAGAAAGCAGGGGATTACGGAAGAGATACTTGATAATACTTACTTTAAAAACAACAGATTCTCAGGGATTCCTAGCCCAAAAAGGCAAGTATTGAAATGTAGAAAGAACAGCTTTCAACATACAGATTTGATTTGATTTAATTTGTTTCAACTGTTTAGTGTTTGTGCAATAGAAGTGGAGACTTTGGCACATACGTGTGACAGATGTTTGCAATAGAACTAGAGTGAATTTGGGATTACCCAGGAATGGGGTGAAATAGCTAACAGCCTCTTTAAAATGTGTTCTGGAGAAAAAAATCCTTTGTGAGTGTTTGGAAAGGGTAGAAAAGAGACAACAAATTCTGTGAGGACTCTTACTGAAATGCGAAACAGAAAAATTTGGGTGGGAGAAATGCTTGAAGGGCTGTCTCTCTCTGTGTCATATAGGAAGACTGCAAGAAAGGAAAGCAGCAGATAAGGAAGGACAGAACTTTTCAGCCAGACAGTGAAATTATCAGAGTTGGGTTTTGCCAGGTTCCTGTCTTGTCAGGATGAACTGAAATTCAGCATGGGACCAGAAAAAAAACTGCAGTTACTGAGTTCATCCTAGAGGGTGATCAAAGACTACAGCTATTTCTCTCTCTGGTCCTTCTGCTCATCTACCTGACAACAGTGATGGGGAATGCGACCATCATTTTCCTCATGTGTATGGACCACCGCCTGCAAACCTGCATGTACTTTTTCATCAGCAACCTGGCCTTCCTGGAGATCTGGTTTACATCCTCCACAAGCATCAAACTCGTTGTGATCCTGGCTTCTGGGAGGAGAAGAATCTCCCTAAGCAGCTGCTTTGCCCAATCCTATTTCTATTTTGCCCTGGGCTGCACAGAGTTTGCTCTTCTGGTTGTCATGTCCTTTGACATCTACGTTGCCATCTGCCAGCCTTTGTGTTACGCTGCCATCATGAAGCCTCAGCTCTGCATCCACCTGGTTGTTGCTGCTTGGGTCACAGGCATCACACTCTTGAGTTACTGTCTGGTCTTCCTCTACACGCTGACTTTCTGTGGCTCCAACAAGATCCACCACTTTTTTTGTGACAACTTCCCCTTATTCAAATTGTCCTGCTCTGACACCAGCCTGCTTTGGAAACTAGACTCTCTTTTAATACCATTTGTCATACTGAGTTCCTTATGTTTAACTCTGGCATTTTACATGGGCATCCTTCTCTGTATTCTACACCTTCCAGCAGCCTCTGAGAGGAAAAAAGCTTTTACTACGTGTTCTTCCCATCTCACCACCTTGGCCATTGCATATGGGAGCTGCATTGCTCTCTACGTGTGTCCTTCAGAAGATGTTTCCTTGGAGACAAACAGAATTGTAGCTTTGCTGAACACTGTCCTCTATCCATTCTTAAATCCATTCGTCTACAGCCTTAGAAACAAGGCTGTGATGCTGGCCCTGAACAAAGCCATTGCCCGTGCAATAGTACAGCTTTTCCCCTCATCATGATGCCTTTCTGGACAGCTATTCCAATGACCTGCTGTCACATCTTAAATAATACCAATGCACCTATATATGACCTCCAAACACAGATGCCTCAGGAGACTGATGTTCTTGTGGGATTGTGTTAGGTTAAGTGATACGAAGCACATCTACATAGCCAAAGAAAGCACTACCAATGGCAGGAGGAGTAGCCCAGTTTATACCCCGCCCCAGCTCTCCCAGACCCATCCCAGGAGAGCCACCAGCTCATCAAGAGCCTTTGCAAACTAAGAAGAGTTCAGAGGCTCAGTGACAGGTGGGAACCCAAATTACAGGCTCCTGAGGCCTTCCTGAGGCATGAACACGTCCCAGCTCCTTCCAGGGCTGCCCTGGGAGAGCCATCAGCCCCGTTGTCCAGGTGTGAAACCCATCAAGATGAGTCACTGAGAGCAGCTTCCTGGATCACCACTTGGACTAAGGGGACTGTTGCCTGGTGGTGTAGGACACCTTTTGGGATGCAGGGCAGGAGCATTTTTGGATTGCACAGGACTTACTACGGGAAGTTTAGGGGAGGACCCTGACGAGTGTAACCTGTTCTGTCTGCTCATTAAACTTTATTTCTAACTCTTCCCTGGGTGAGTCAATCTCTCCTCTGCGTGAACCTATGAGCACAGGAGTGTGTCTGCAGCAACCGGCGCAGGACCAGGGGGTCAGACAGCCCTTGTGTCATTAGTGCCAGCAGCTGAGAGACTGGAGCGACTGGACATTGGAGTTTGTGTGTGTGTGTATGTGTGTGTGTATGTGTGTGAGGGATCCACCCTGTACAGATATGTCTATAGAATAGAATGATTCAATTGGGAGGGGCCTATAATGTTCACCTAGTCCAACTACCTGACCACCTCTCACCAAAAGTTAAATCATGTTCTTGAGGGCATTGTACAAATGCCTCTTAAACACTGACAGGCTTGGG